AGCCCGCAACCCGGGCATGTGCCCTGACTGGGAATCAAACCTCAATCTCCTGGATCCTAGGTCGATGCTCAACCGCAGAGCCACTCCCGGCCGGGCTAACGGGGTTTTTTAACTAACCGTGCAGAGAGGTATTATTCTGAGGAGCAAAGGAATTGACTGAGGTCACATTTAAAGCTGCTGTCCCCTTCTCTGATTTCCCAGCCCTCCCGGGTGGGTGGCTCAGCTGCCGCCTGGTGCTGTGGTTCAGGCAGCCAGCCTGCGTAGGCGGGGGGTGCCCGTGTATGCGGGGGTCCCTCCCCTCCAGTGCTCCTCTGCAGAGACCAGCCCTGTGGCCCCATCAACCAACAACAGGCACGGGCGCCAGGGCTCAGAGCTTCTCTCTCTGAATCCCCAGCCCTTCCTCCCGGCCCCTGGCCTTCACTCTGTGCAGTCACCGTGTCCCCTGTGGTCAGAACTTAGTCACCAGACTTAGCTCATTCCGAGAAGACAGCCAGAAAACTCCAGTCAAATCCCTGCTTTTCTCTATTCACTTAGACAGTTTCCGTTTTCCCTGATGACTCAAATCTTCTGTGGGCCCAGAACCTTGCCAGCACCATCTGGGTGTTGCCACGTTAGGTTCCACTGAAGACACGTGGAATCTGAGGCAGCACTTTCCATTGCTGTGACCAGGCAGTGACAGCTTTGGCCCACGTGAGTGAGCAGCGGTCTGTTATGACGGAGGTTTACCACTAGGTCAGCCGGCTGACTGATTACAGAGGTCACCACTGTTTCCGTCTGACAATGCAGGCAGCAGGCACATGCTGTACAGAAGCTGTCACATCAGGCTCACCGGAGTCTCTGGGATGGTTACACAGTGCTGGTAGCAGTTCCCAGCCCCTTGGGGACATGTCTCTAGAGAATGAGCCCTCAGGCCATATCTGAACACATAACCATCCCTGGACCAGGCCAGACCCTGCACAGGCCAACCCGAGGGGCTGAGACTGGGGCCCCGAGTCACTCGCCGCCACGTGGCTGAACTGGCCATGAACCTGGTTCCATCAACTTGAAAAGTCACATCCTTTTGACTATGACCTGAGCTCCCCACGTTCTTCCAAGTTTGGTTTCCAGGGTCACCTGTGTTTCTGAGGTCCCTCTGGGTGACGCCCAAACTTGAGCGTGCGTGAACGTTCCCTGGAGGGTTTGTGAAAAGCTGGGGGTGGGGCTCCACCCCAAGTTTCTAATTCAGTAGGTCTGGGATAGGGCCCAGCTGTCTGCGTTTCCCTCGAGTTGCCCGTGACGTTTCTGCTGCTGGCTGGGACTGCCCGTGTCGTAAGCCAGGGCCCTTGCCCGTTAGGTGTGCGCTGCTTCAGGACGGGAGGCGGGGACGGGGGCACAGCAGACGCCTGCTGCCGCTGGGCCTTGGCCCCAGAGACCACGGAACTGAGAGGGCCGCCAGGCCCGTGCACACCCACGCACGTACACTCACGCACACACTCGCACAGCTCACACACACCTACTCCACCCCCACTCACTCACATGCACTCATCACACTCTCAACACACTCACACACACACCTCCTCACCCCCCACACACACTTTTACACATTCACAAGCACTCATCACACATTCTCACGCACACTCACATAGTTATACATACACTCACACACACATACTCTCAGACACATACACACGCATACACTCACACACAGTCACACACACATTCTCACACACATACCCACTCACACACATAAACACATGCACACACTAACACACATTCACACACACTCACAGGAGGCTCACACGCATACGCCACAGGCTTTGGAATCACTGACTCTCCCCACACCTGTTTCTTCATCTGGGGCCGGACAGGGAAAGGGAAGGCGGAGTATGTCCCCAGGTAGCTGAATTGCTGGCCCTCTCATAGCCTGTGTTGCTGTCTCTGGTCCCCAGGCCTTGTATGGACACACACAGGCTGTCACATGCCTGGCAGCATCAGTCACCTTCAGCATCCTGGTGAGTGGCTCTCAGGACTGCACCTGTATCCTGTGGGACCTGGACCACCTCACCTACGTGGCCCGCCTGCCTGCCCACAAGGAAGACATATCTGCAGTGGCCATCAGTGACATCTCGGTGAGTCCCCCTTGCTCAGTGTCCGTGTCCTTGACATGTCTGTGAGCCCAGGTGCTTGCATGATAGACTGTGCCCCTCGAGAAAACCTGGGGCAGAGAGATGCTGAGCACCCCAGAATGTAGAGCGTGCCCCAAATGTGTGGAGCATTCTCTACACAGCAGAGTGAGCCGTTGACATGTGCAGAGTCGGGGGCTAGGTGTCATTTTGTGCTTCCTTCCTTTTCTTCCTCAGGGTGATGGGGCAGCGGGAGGTCCCTGTTCTGGCCTGGGAACCAGGGAGTGTGACAGAAGTTGGCTTTGGTGAGGGGCCTGCTGGGCTTCGCTCATTCAGCTTGTTCACTGAAATCAGTGTTGACTCAGCAGCTGCCTCTGGTTCCCATGGCGGGAAGTGCTTCTGCTGGTCTCCCCGTGCTGGCTGCCAGAGATGAGCCTGTCAGGGACGTGCGTGCGTGTGTGTGTGTGTGTGTGTATGGGAGGTAGAGTTAGAGAAATACATATATAAGTCTCGGTGTGGACTTTCTCCCAAGCTAGAACCCCCGTCACAGGGCATGGAGTTCCTTGAGAAGGCAGAGGCTCCACATCTACTCATAGAAGACCCCAGGGCTCCATCCAGGGCATTGAAACAGTAGGAAAGGGGAACACAGGTGGAGGGGAGAAGATGGAGGAGATTCCTGGTGCCAACTTTGGCTGAAAATGGTGCTCTGGGCAGGCTTAAATCCCAAATGAATGTTACATGGCAGATGGAGAATGGGCAGATGAATGGATGGGTGGGGAGATAGAGGCATGCATGGGTAGGTGATGGCAGAGGGGTAGACGGACAGATAGGTGTGCGGGTGGCTGGCTATTTGGGTGAACTCGTGGGTGAAGGATGAATGGAAGGATGGAAGGACGCTGGTGAATAGATGGATGAGTGGATGTACTGGTAACGTCTAAAACTTCTTAGAGACAGGCTGGCAGCCAGGTGTAGGCCCTGTGTCCAGAGCCAGGGGTGGGCACAGGGCCTACATCATGCCAGCCAGGATACTGCCAGGGAGAGGGTTGTGAGAAGAGTCTGCAGAGTGAGCCAGTCAGCTTGTCAAACATATGATCACAGTATTCAAAGGGCTAGGAATTTACAGTCGTGTGAATGCAGAGCAGACCTCTGAGTCAGCTTGGAAGAAGGGGTGTCTCAGGAGGTCTTGGAGCACCTCGGTTAGTCTTGAGAAGAAAGCAGGCTGAGGGTGCTCGGTGTACAAATTGAGTGGCCGGGCAAGTGGCTGGTGGGCAGGCAGTGACCCAGCTTGGGGTGAAGCCGGATCTCACCGTGCAGGGCACCATTGTCTCCTGTGCCGGAGCCCATCTGTCCCTGTGGAATGTCAACGGACAGCCCCTGGCCAGCATCACCACGGCCTGGGGCCCAGAAGGAGCCATAACCTGCTGCTGCATGGTGGAGGGGCCAGCATGGGACACAAGCCACGCCATCGTCACTGGAAGTCGAGACGGTGTGGTCCGGGTAGGTGGGTCTGGGGCAGAATAAGGGCATGGCACAGAAACGCGCTCATCTGCGTTCTGCCCGCTTCCCCCGAGGGCCCGAGTCTGCAGGCTGCATTAGACCATTCCAGGCCAGGTCCCTGCAGCAAGAGAGGGCAAAGACGAGGCTCTTCCCAGGTCAAAAGTTTTAAAAATTATATGTAATTTTATACATACATACACTCATGTAATGAAATAAACGTTTATCACATGGTGTGAAAGTTGAATGGTCAAATGCATGAGAACATAGCCTAGTGCTGAAAAGAGATAGTTGGACCATCCACTAATCCATTCACCCACCTGTCCCTCTATCCACTAATTCATCTACCCATCCAACTGTTTATCTCCCTACCTACCCATTTGTCCATCCATCCATCCATCCATCCATCCATCCATCCATCCATCCATCCATCCAATAAAAGATCCACCTACCTACCCAATTCTTTATCTCCCCTCCCTCCCTCCCTCCCTCTCTCCCTTCCTTCCCTCCTTCCTTTCTTCCCACCCGTGTATCTATCCACCCATCTGCCCTTCCATTCATCCACCAATGAATCTATCCACCCACCCACTAATTGTCCCACTACTCATCCATCCATCCACGTAACATTCATTAAGCTCTGGTTCTGTGCCAGTCACATTACACAAGCCATAGGGCGCGGAGAATAATAATAAACAGGTCGTTGTCTTCAAGACGCTCCTATCCTAGGAGAGGACACATGCAGGAGATACATGCATGTGGTTCGTGCTACCATTAGGATAATCACAATGGCCCATGGATCCTCTGGGGATGATGGCAGAGGGACAAGATGGCATTAGCTAAGTAACGTGATAAACAGGCTGCTAGCCTGGTCCCTGCAGGTAAGGGAGACACACATGAGCACAGGGGAGAGTGAGCCATTCACGTGCAGCTGTGCGTGGCTAACCCTTTGCACAGGGAAGCCGGGGGCCTAAGTGACCTTTTCCCGAGAAAACATCACCATCAGAGGCGACGAGGCACCCTGCCCCCAGCCCTTCCCCAGGGTCCCGCAGGCAGGGTCACTCCCCAGCCCATGGTGTTTTCTCCTTTCTGGGCAGATTTGGAAGACTGAGGAGGTGAAGATGTCTGTTCCTGGGCGGGCAACACCGGAGGAGCCCTCAGCTCAGCCCAGCAGCCCAAGAGGTAACTGCCTGCTAGGGGTGCACGTGGGGTGCATGAGAGGCACCTTTGCTTTGCTCAGCCCTCCCTCTCCTCTCCCCTCCTCAGCCCAAGGGCTGCAGCTCCACCCCAGGCCCCCAGGGAGGACACTGAGTCCCTCAGATGTCACAAGTTGTGAGGTGCTGGGGAGTCAGGGACACAGTTTGCTGCGAGATGCTGGTGGGATGCAACAGCATGGAGAGGCTCTGTTGAGTGCTGGCCTTACCCTGCAGGGACCAGTGAGCTCCGGGGGAGCGACTTCAATGTGTGAACAGTGGTGGTGGTGGTTGGGCCTCCTGAGCATCGGGAGAGGGACACACCTTGCAGAGCTGGATTCGATGCTCTGCACCTGCCTGGGGGACTCTTCCATGTCCAGCTCCCCAGCCCAGGGCCTGCGTCCAGCTGGAGAGCCAGCCTACAGGCAGGAGCAGGGAGGGGCCTGCCATGCCCCTGGGGAAAGGCCGACTTTCCACAGGCCGCAGGCTGCCCCATTAATCCTGGTTCACCCCGCCCAGCCATGGCACATTCTTCAGACCGGCTTGGAGGGCCGTCTGCATCAGCATTGCCCAGGAGGTTTGTTACAACGCAGCCCCAGGGCCTGTTCTCAGCCCAGCTCCTGGGAAAGATCAAGGGTTATTAGAAGTTCCATGTCTGTCAAGTCCCCAGGTGACGCTTGGGATGTGCCTCAGTAAGAGGACCACTGCTCGGAGCAGATGGGGACTGAGTAGAAAATGTTCCCCTTCTGCCATCAGGCCACGGGCACTACCGCCACCGTGGCCGTCACCGCAGAGCTGTGAGGGAGCAAGCTCACCATGAGCAGCTCCACTGTGCACACTTCCCACACCTCCTCTCATTCCTCATGGCGACCCTGTGAGGTGGCATTACTATGACAGCCAGGAGAGATAAGGAACCTGAGGCCCAGAGAGGTTCAGCAACTTGCCCAAAGTTACCCAGAAGCAAATGAATACCATCATTGTCACTTCTGCCACAGAGCAGATACGACCACCGCCAGGTAACCTCACTCACAGGTAATGCCAGGTAACCACCGTCACTCTGCCAGACCAGCTGGCTACCCTGCGGCGAGCACAGGCACAGGCTCACCGTCAAAGCCAGCACCTCATTTGCTCAACTCCCAGTGCCCCACCACTCCTCCAGTGCAGCCAGCCTTCCTAGCTCTGCCTTCATCAAAGATTCTGGCCCAGAGCAGGCTCATCTTTCTTGGTGCCCATGACTGAAGGTGACCGTCCACCGTGATGTGAGAATTCTCCTGTCATTATGAGGCCTGCTAGTTGTTCTGCAACCCAGGACCCACAATCAGCCACTGGAGAGAATTTTCCAGATTGCTGAGGGCTGCCTTCTGAAAAGCATAGTCATTTTCAATTAGTTTATTTCTCAAATGTACTCCACACCTCCTTGTCATTTAGTCATGGGCTCGGATTCTTTATTCTCACGACCTCACAGACATTTGCTCAGCCCCTACTAGGTCCCAGGGTGCACACGGGAACCTTTCCCTTCGAGATGACGCCATCTGGGAGCCCTTGCCAACACTCTGGGCCGACCCAGAGCAGTGGCCTCACAGGGATCTACAACCACACTCAGTTCACTGGTCCTAGTATCTCCAAGGTCCTTTAGGGCCACAAGGAAGCAGGCGGTCTCAGTGTAAGAAGAAAGACAGGGGAGCCTACGCAAGGAACTCCCAGCTCTTCCTCGGAGAGCAGGGGCCAAATGCCTTCCCCTCGACCCACCGATTCGGAGATGTAGCGAGAGGTTTGCTCCCCTGACTGCTTATGAAGCCACTCCCAGGGCCTGGGTGAGAGGCGCCACCTTGATCTGGAGCTCAGCTGCCCTCTTCTGAAGCTGTCAAGGTCCAATAAGCTGAAGGCACTAGCTCGGCTGATGGCTGATAAATGGATGTCTGAGCAAGAAGGCTGGCTGGATGGCTGGGTGGGTAGATGGAGAAACAGGTAGATGACCAAAGGACATCTCAGAGACAGTCCGTGGGTTCTGGAAGTACCAGTGGATTCATAGGTTTCTACTAAGGGCCCAGGGTTGTGTGAGGCTGTGCTCATTGGCAGTGAGGCCCAGGGCAATGAGAAGTGGGAAACAAGGCTCCAGACCCAGCTCTATCCTCAGTGATTTCTCTGGCCCTCGATGATTTCCCCCCTCTGTCAAGTGGAGGTATTTTCTGTACATCCTAACTGGTAGAGAGCTGGTGGCAGAAAACATTATAGACACAGACAAGCATCTACTCAACAAAATGCAGGTAATCGTTATGACTCCGACTCCTAAGAGAGTGCTCCCCTAATACACCAGCTGACGACACCACGGAACTTACAGGATGCCCCAGGCTCTCAGGTCCTCAGCCTTTCCTGCTGTCTGTCCTGACCTGAGGGCACCACTGTCCCTGGCATTAAGTGCCAGGGTGTGGTTACAGTTCACCGCAGGGTTCGGGTGGAATGTCAGGAGAATACAGAGACAGTCATAAAGGTCAGGCTGCGCCGCGGCTCAGTTAGCAAACCCACGCACAGGCTTGCGAACCTAAGCCAGTGGGGGCCTTGTTCTCCCAATGTTGCTCAAAACTGTTGTTGGAAAGGGACCAGTATTGGGCATGACACATGGGTATTTGCTTGTGTGGCCTCATGTTTATTACTCCATTCCTCAAATGTCATCAGGGGCGAGAGAGGAGAGCCAGGAGACACTAAGGGCTCTGCACGTGTGCCCAGCTTCTGTCTGGGATTCCTTTACTTGTCATTTGCAGCATCACCAACCCAGTTGAGTACAGTTTATTTTAGGAGCCTCCTCATAGACTTGGACTCAATCTGGTATGTAGAAGTGCTCGGGGGGAGCTGGTGTTGACTTTCCACAAGCACACGCGCGCACGCATTTCTGGTGCACGGCCGTCTGCACACATAAGCAGCCGCCCTGGGACAGCGGGGGCAGCTGCGTCATTCCCGCCCTGGCTGCAGCCGGGTGGCTTCGCAGGGACAGACGCAGCTGATGTCTCCATCTCGCCCTCCGCATTGAGGGGGTTGCTGTCTGCCCCCAAATGTGGCCATTAAAATGAGTGAAGTAACAATCATTGAGTTATATTTTTTGAAAAAACATTCTCAGCATTTAATTACTGGTTGTGGTGTGAGAGGATTTAGATAAGTTGATAAAGCCAACTTTATGTAATTTATTTTTACTAGGCAATTAAGGGCTGCATTACATCCTGGCAGCAAGGTATTGTGGGGCATCTTATTAAGCATAAAGCCAGTAAACACTGATGAACAATTTTGCTGAACTAGGCATGCAATTTAGAAAGCAATAATACACAAATCCAATTTGGTTCACAATGGATACAGCGGCACGTCAGCACATGTAACTATCACAGCCTGCAAATTAAATTGGGACGGTCCTTTCTGCAGCAGCACAGGCCAAGATTAAATATATTTTCCCCTCAATTTAACAAGTTGCTGACCACAAATATAAATATGTGCGCATGTGTTTGTGGCCCTCCGTGTGGATGCACACGTGCAGGTGCGTGAAGCCACTGGGTTTCCTGACTGTGCTCTCTCACGCTCCCCACAGGTCACAGGTGGGAGAAGAACCTTGCCCTGTGCAGAGAGCTGGACGTCAGCGTCGCTCTGACAGGGAAGCCCAGCAGGACCAGCCCTGCAGTGACAGCTCTGGCCATGTCCAGGTAACGACGGCGTGGCTTCCCCAGGCCTCCAGCAGAGGGCGCTGTGGCCACCCCTAGGAAAGTCGGGGCCTCTGGGCTCAGGCAGCCTCCTACCGGACTCAGGAGGGCCCACCATGCACAGGGTTCAGGCCAGGTGGCCGTGTAGGGTTCTTGGAAATGTTTTTAACACACCCATGCCCTTGCTCTCTCTCATTGAATACCCACGAATCCATAAAGAAATCCAAAAGGTAAAAGTATATTGCTTTGGAATTTTATCCTACGGAGGAACTTTTCCTGAAGTCCACTGCTGATTGTAATGTTTGGGGTGACGGTCATCTTACATTACAAAAAATGCCTTTTGAGCACCCTAAACCAATGCAGAATATTCAGTGTCAGATGCCACGTGGGGTCCTGCATCTCTCACAGGATTGGAGGCACCTAGGGATGCTGGAGAGAGAAGGCCAGGCCCCCACCCTGCTCCCTGGAGCCCCGGCTTCCTGAAGAATCCCCTCAGTGCTTTGGAGGCCACAACATAGTGCAAAAGTCCCCCACCCCGGGGCAATACATTCTCCAGTTCTCCCACCCCCGCCCCTGCCTCAGGTGGAGGCCAGGGGCGGGCTTCTGGGGTCCTGGACTGAAACCTCCATGTTGGCCATTTCCCAATTGCGGCTGGGATACGGGGACTCACAGGCTCACCCCTAACACTCCTGTCTATTTTTTCTCTACCCAAGAAACCAGACCAAGCTCCTGGTAGGCGATGAGAAGGGGAGAATATTCTGCTGGTCCACAGAAGGGTAGGAAGGGAGAGATGGTGGCAGCCCTGGCCTAGCAGCAGTAGGCAGCTGCTGGGATGACACAGTGCCCGGGAGAGGAGGAAACCTCAGGGCCCTCGCCCGACCCCAGATGGCCCCCGAGGAAGGGGCTGGCTGCCGTTGGAGCCACCAGAGTTCCAACTTCTCCACGGCCCACGGGACCTTGGCCTTGGATTGCATGAGGATGCGCTTTCACAAATAAGAGGAGCTCAGGTGGGGTTCCTGCGAGCGGCACGCATCCCAGCTGGAAGCTGCAACTCTGATGCCACCTGCGCACCAACCACACAGGACTCACCTTTCAAAGAGCTATTGCACAGGGGGAAAATGGGTCACTTACTGGAATCTAATGGGAAATATTGTATTGTCTTTATTTTATTAAAACTACTATTTTCCAAATATAAGAGCTCTTGAGTGTAAAGTTGCCACACTTTCCATGCAGGTATTTGCAACTCTAGTCTTAGGAAGTTGGAGCCTCAGGGAAGCCCTGCCCCCCCTCCAGGGTGTTTCTCAGCCCCTCCAGTGGTCTTGCTGCCCTGCAGGGCCTCACTCAAGGGGCTCCTGAGGCATAGGACACGGACACAAGGCTGCCCATTGCCGGCATAGGAAAGTCAGCCAAGAGGGCCACCCCACCTAGGCCTGCCTGCCTGGGCTTCACACCCCACAGCAGGTGGTGGGTCCCCGGCCAGGCCTTAGCTTGGCAGGCTCTTCACAGGCCCTATTCTTATGTGGAGGTCGAGGGCCACAGTCTACATGCTGATTTGGGGCTAGAGCTCGTCTTGGAAAACCTGGAGGCCATGTGACTTCTTTCCATGTGAACGCAGGGCCCCTCCCAGGAATTCCAGTCCCTTCCAGTGCCTGGGTCACTCTTGGTTCAGTCCTTGGGCATTGAAGGCCTCGCCCTCACACTAATGCCTTCTTCCCACCCAAGCTTCAGGACTCGGAGGAAATTCACCTGCCTCTCAATGAAACCCAGCTCGGGGGG